TGCTGTCTCTGAAGTGTTAGAAACATACAAAATCGCCGTTGTGGTTTTTGATCCAGACATCTGAGAACAGATATGTTTCAAAGTGCACACACCACACGTTACTATACATGTAGACACGCACACCACTCGTTACTATACGCATGTACCCGTGTACGTCTATTTGCTCACCTGTATTGCTTGCCAACCATTCGACTGCCAGAGCTCCTGAAGTTCGGTACCCATGGACTCAAGCATACACTCCAGGCCTGGGCCGACACAGGGATACCACTAGGCTCAAACAGCACGGTGGATGCGACTAAAGTGTGTGGCAACATACGTAAGGGGTGTGCACAAGCACGCACAGACTCGCGAGAGTGTACAGATACACGTACACACACGCACACGCACACAACGCCAGGTGTGTGCGCCGTCGTGCAGAGCGGTAAAACAACACGTGAGAAAATAAGCGCAAGCGCTGATTCGACACGTGACGGAATAAGCTGGAGTGTGGGCCAGGCCATGGCCTTCTGCCTGGAGGAGCTGGTGCATTTCCTCGACAAATTGCGCGCGTGTATTATCAAGCCCGGCATGAAGGTAGCTCTTCTTGTTCATAAACAAGGGTTTTTTTTCGGGATGTGTGTGTGAGTATGTCCGTGAGAATGTGGGTGTGTGGGTGCAGGTACCGATTGCACGCGAATACTAACAAGCCCGGCATGAAGGTGCCTCCTCTTGTTTATAAACTAGGTTTTTCTCGGGTTGTGTGTGTGAGTGTGTCCGTTAGAATATGTGTATGTGTGTATGTACCAATTGCGCGCGTATACTAACAAGCCTGGCATGGAGGTAGCCCCATCTTGTTTATAAACTAGGTTTTTCTCAGGACTGACATAACATTACACCTGAGATATGTATACGTACATGCACATGTGAATGGGTCTGTGTGTGTACTGACATGTGAGTGATGTATCTGCGTGCGTATATGCGTTCGCACATGTCTGCCTCTATATATACATAGAGCATGTGCATGTGGGAGTATGTTCACTTGTATACGTCTGTGTAGGGGCATGTGTATATCTGTTTTAGGTTCTGCTAAAACTTTCGCAACCCATAAACCCTAATACCAAAAAACCTGAATACCAGCTCCCCCCCAATACTGACATATAATTCACCTCTCTCTCGACCTACAGCAAACCTTGAATATAAAGTTACTAACATCGGATACGGAAGCAAGCGCAAAAGTACTGAAAGTGTTGGAGGAGGCAGCCTATGTGATTGGTATGTACTACTGTTTTGATCGTTTCACTACCAATGCATATATATATATATATATATATATATATATGTTTATATTAGTATGATACCATACGTTCGTGTGTGCGTTTTCTCTGTCCAGTATTCTCCCGGCAATATCGACGCTCTACAAGAAGAGTATCAATCCATACATCCATCTACGCACACACCCATGCCAAAACATTGTAATAAACACTACACATCCTTATAAACCAGCACGCCGATAACATCCTTCACATCATCACTAACCTCTGCACAGGCAAGCTTTTCTGTGTTCTGGGTAAATCCGAGACCATCTCTGACAGCACCCGCACTGCCGTGTGTGAGCCGTTGTCGTCGTGTTTCACACTGGCCACGGGCCTGAGAATTCAACTGGACGCGCTTGATAGGTAGGGAGAGTGGTAATTGTGTGCGCGTGTACGTTATGTAGGTATAGTGTTCCGTATTGTGTAGGTATCTTATTTGTAAGTTTAGATGGATATGTAGGTATAAGGTTCCGTGGTTAGGTATCTCCTTTGTACTTTTAAACGGATATGTAGGAATAATGTTTCATACTGTTGCCGTGAACGTGACTTATGGACGCATACATGCACGTAGTACTGTACGTTGGAGCGGCGTTTGGCAGATAGGTAGTGCACTCGCTACCTACCTGGGGACTCGAGGCGTAAATGACAATTCTTGTGATGTCACACACGTCCATACATATCTACATGCGTAGTAGGTAGCTAAATAGAGTACTGAGTGGGATGTCTCTTCTACAAGACTATACACAGGGAAACTATTTATAATGCATACTAGGTGTAGTACAGGGAAGCTATGTAGCTGTATTGCATACAAAAGGTAACACAGGGAAGCCACATATATATATATATATGTGTGTGTGTGTGTGTGTGTGTGTGTGTGTGTGTATGTATATATGTATATAT